AAAGATGTTGGGTTTTCTCCTATGAGAAAATGCAAATTGAGGGAAATTCTACTAAAAGAAGGTAAATTAAATTTTACAAGTGCTTGCCAAATAGCCATATGCTGGGAAATGACAGAACAATTTATTGAAGTAAAGCCTCTTAATTAGTTTAATATACGTAAACAATGTCATTATGAAAATGGCAATCATAATAAAAACACATGTAATTGGAACAATATCTGTAAATGTGAGCTAATATAATACTCTTGATGATGTATAAAAAATTGAATTTATTGGTCGTAAATAATACAAAAAATATTTGTCCATTGTTAGAAAGAAGATCATGGTTGAAATATTATGTCCAAATTAAATAGATTAAAAGAAAGTTATAAAATTAGTACGTACCACTGAATAAAATAATAATGATAATATTTTAAAATATATTAAAATAAAATGTATTTTGGAATTTGGATGAGATTTTAATTTGAGCATTGGATGAATAAATGTGTAAAAAAGGATTAGATTAATTATTCAAAAGATTATATGAGTTTTATGTCAGATTAAATTTAAAGAAATTTAAACTTTTTGAGTGTAGCATTGATATCTAGATCATACAATAGATGAAGTGGGTATAAGACTTATGAAACAAAAATTAGAAGCAATTAAAGAAGCTATAGAACCAAATAATTAAAATGAATTAAAAACTTATTTAGGATTATTTAACTATTACTGTAGGTTTGTGCCAAATTTAAGTAGTGAGTTGCACGAACTTCATAGATTATTTAAAAAAGGAGTTAGATTTGAATGATCTATAATGTGTGTGACTTATAATAAAAGTAAGCAATGACTGCTAAATAACCAATTGTTGGGTATCTATGATCCCAAGAAACCCATAATAATTTATGTGGGTGCTAGTCTGTATGGTGTAGATGCAATCTTAGTACAAGTATATAATAAAAAAGAAAGACCTATATTTTTTTCATCTAGTACACTACCACCCAGCAGTAAAAAAAACTACTCACAATTACAAAGTGAAGCTTTATCTATACTATGTTGTATAAAAAAATAAAAAATAATGGAAATACATTTGCAATATGTTCAGGCTTAAATACATTTAAAAAAATCTTTAGTCCAACTATAGTTACTGAACTTTAAGTACCTTCAATAAACCGAAAAAATATTAAAAATTGGTTGAAAAGGACAGTTAGAAAAATGAAAATATCATTTTCAAATGAAAAATTAATTAGGGTTTAAAAATAATACCAGAATGTCTAAAAGAAAAAGTACTAAAACTATTAAATAAAAATCATAATAGTATTGTAAGAATAAAAATGGAGGCAAGAGGAGCACCACTTTGATAGAGAAATATTGCTATGATATTGAAAAACCAGTATAAGGGTGTAAAATATACACACAAACTCAAAATGTAACGTACCAAAAGAGGTAGTAACATCTAAATGGTCAAAGATAATTAACCCTTATGAGAGGGTTCAAAAGCAAAAAGGGGTGTTCAAACAGTAAAAAAATACTATTTATGAAAGAAAAAATATTATGATTTATAAATACTTATAATAGTACACCGTCAACAGTAACAATCACTATTTGATTAATATAAAAAAATTAAATAGCTATTAAAAAACTATACCAATATGGGTTTGATGAATTTATATAATGTTAAATTGTGTTCTTTTTTTGTATAATTATTATTATTGTATTGTAATTATATAGAATGTAATATAAAAGGGGAAAAGTGTTATATCTGTATACATGTTATATAATGTATATTGTATGTGTAATCTTATCTAATAAAGTTAATGATTCATCTACTACAATAGGAATAATATCTCTCTAATATTAATCTAAAACATACTTTTTGCAAACACCATAGGTCATTGGGCATGCTCTATTGACATTGTGCATAGTAAATCATTATAAATATTAAGAGTAATATGTAAAAACAATATTAATATTAAAAANAAAGAAGATATCAAAAACCTAAAACCCAAAGAGATACTAAATTTTGCTAGAGAGACAGGCCCTATAGTCTTAGGTGTTTAACAATAGCAAGAATACTTTGGTGGAAACATTTATATGAAAAAACCAAATTAATATAATTTGATAGGAGGAGATGCGCATATTTGATCTAAAGATCTGAGTGCATGTGCAGTAATTGACGTAATCTATAAACATTAATACTACTACTCGGAATATCTCTAATACAAACCATCAGGGGATGTTTTCATTTCTTTCTTGGTATCTAAATTTTCAATTTCTTGAGGATTGTTGTCTGTTTGGCTATTTAGATTGTTCGGTCTCTGATCTAGATTGCCATTGAACATATGCATACCATTTTGATCTAATAAATTTATTTTTGAGTCAGAAATTATAATAATGGATTGTTGATTTGGATCTGTTCAACCTCTTAATGTAACAACCACTTAGTCTTCAACAACAGTACAAAAGATGAGTGGTTGTTACATTAAGAGGTTGGGTACCAGGTAATGTTAGAAAGTCTTTATTGTAATTATTTATGAATACAATTCACGCAGATAATTTTACATCACAATAAAGGGAGCAATAGTGTATGCCAAAGACCCTCATTGAGAGGCATACAACAACCTTACGAATAGTTTTGTGGTAAACATATTAAGATCTTGTATTTTGGTTAATGATAAAATAAAAACCTTTCTTAACAACATATGTTAGACTTTTGTGGTAACATTAAGTGATGAACAATTATAGTAGCCTCAGTGTACCTAGTATCTGAGTCCTTAGATCCAGGCAAATACCTAATAGCGCTACTTAATTATTGTAATAAAAAAAAGTTACATCTTATCCTTGGTATGGATGCAAATGTTCACCATACTATATAAGGGAGCAGTAACATCAACCAAAGATGGAGGCACAAATGTATCTAGTTATGACTACAGACTTTAATATACTGAATAGAGATAACGAGTCTACTTTTAAAATCAGGAACAAGCAAGAAGTCATTGTTCTTAAAGTTTGCAAAAAAAGGAGTTGATCCAGAAGATAAAAGGTAAAAATTATTCCTTGAGCCTTCTCTTTCAAATCATTGGCACTTTGCCAATTAGCTTCACTTTGAAAAAAACAGAGTTTAAATGAAGTATTATAGGACCCTAAAATAACAAACCAGGGATAATGACTGGGTAGATCTTTCTTATGACCTGGAAAACCTACAATTTAGACTAGAGTCGGAACAAAAAGTACTGAAAGGGCCATTAATGACCTTCAGAATTGTATTGTTTCGGCATACAAGAAATACTGTCCTTTAATAGAAAGGAAAGGTATAAGACAGGGTGTAGCCTGGTGGAACGCTAACCTATCAAAATTAAGAAAAAATGCTCGTAAACTCTTAAACTAAGCAATGAAATCAGATTTGGTACAAATAGTCCTATAGGAGCTCTCACAAACAATACAAATCTAAATTGAAAGTCTAAAAGAGAAAGCTGGATAGAATTCTGTGGGGAATTACAACAACTACCCACAGCTACTAAACTTCTACACTCACTAAGAATTGGACCAAACAAAACCACCAGAGCAATATTATTGCCAGACAATATGTTCACTAAAAATGATAATGAAACATTATCACATTTGTTGAAGTACAATTTCCTGGATCTGAAATTTATTACACGGAAGAACCTAGCCACCGTTCTAACTACTATAAAGCAAAATCCTACAGACTATTAAGTCTTACTTCATTTCTTAAGAAACTTATTGGTAAGTATATGCATAAGAACCAACATGCATACCTAACAGAAAAATCTACTGACACAACTCTACATAATTTAACCACTAAAGTGAGGAAAGCTACAGAGAATAAAATATATGTGGTAGGCATATTCCTGGACATTGAGTGGACTTTTGATAATACACCTTTTGATGCTATGTGTGAATTTGTCTAAAGGATGGAATAGAACCCCTTACTATTATGATATGGATAGAAATCATGCTTAAGGAATGGCACTGGAGGAACTAATTGAAATAACTCCTTTACACCTAGAGGTTAAAGCTCATGCTTCAGCTACAGCACTAAGACTACAACCTAGGTATATAGACTATGGATAGTGACACCGTAAAACACTGTACGATACTAAAAGAGATTATACTAGGATATCCATGAGACAGTATCAAACCTGTTTTCCAAATAACATCCCCTAAAAAGTTGAGATCTTAACACGTAATAAATGGACTATAAACCAAGAACTGACAACTATATGAAATCCAAAAAGATGGGTGCTAGCATTTGGGGATTAAAACAATAAAATCTTAAAAATACAATGTTTCTATACCTTTGGGTTTGCTTAAGCATGGAATTATTTTTCGTAAGCACTTGTATGTTCCTCCTGAAAAACAAAATTTATGTTTAACGTATTTTAATCCGATAAAAATAATCATATTGAAATTCAAGGAAACATATTTACTTTTAAATCTTCTTAAAAAATTCATATTTCGGATAAAAATATCACTTTTTAAAATTATTTTAGTTAAAATAAATNAATATCACTTTTTAAAATTATTTTAGTTAAAATAAATGCACTTATTTAGCTTATCAAATAAAATATTAAAATGATAATAAAAACTGTTGATTTATAAATATATTTATATACCATATGTTAATTTTTTTTTATAGCCAATAACTATTAATAATTTTATTAGTATTAATAAAATTATTAAATGAATAATATATTCTGTAACTTTTCTACATTTTATAATTCCAGAAAATGCAAATAAACATAAATTAGAGGAAACTAGACACAAATCATTTTTACTGTTTTTTAAAGCAAATTGATGTATTATTTCAAGGTTTTTAATTTTCATTAAAAAATTAAAATTTACAGTTAATTTAAAATTAAATTAACTGCATTATTTACTCAAATTTTTTGTTCCAGTTCACACACAGTATTTTATATTTATTCTTGATAAATATTTGTGTTATTATTTCTAACAGAAATAATAACTATTACAGAACAGTGGAAATAATTATCACTAATTACCTTATATCCAAATATCCATTATTTATTATAAAATTGTGTATAAGTTCACTGAAGTGCACACTAATTTTGATTTCTTTGCATATTAATAGGTCTTTTTGTGTCAATATTCGGTCTTCTATTTGATATTTATGTTTATCACATCCGTTTCATTATAAGTCATTTTGAAAATCTTGTGAAATCATTTCTCTCGCACATATTCATACAAAGGTGTATTCCTAAAGTTTTTCCACCAAAATATAGTGATTAGTATGGTTTGTTAATGATATATTTATGGATATCGATATGATACTGAATTTGAGAAATATTATATCACAATATTGAAAAAAAAAAACTGTTTCCAATATCGCAATATAAAACATTATCACCTTCAAAACTATCATCTAATAGGGATTCTTTTTTTTTTTTTTTCTTAATAATTACATTTTATTTTTCAGATATTAACAAGTTACATCAACCACTTGTTAATATCTGTTGTTCCTGTATATCTACTAATTTTAAAATTTCTTTCTCTAATTTTCCTCATACATTACTTTGTGTAAAATTAAGAATAAAAACACTGTCATAAAAAAAACCTTTTCATAGAACAAACTTTTGTATCAATAAATATCATTTTTTGTCTTATCTCAATTCTATATTTAATAATATATTTAAATACAAAAAATATTAACAAGATTATCATGAACTGTTTTTGGACTAATATAAAATAATACATATATTATTATATATGAAGGGAAGGTTGCAATAACATTTAATCAGTCGTAAAAGCAAATACTTATACAATTTTTAAAATTGTAATATTTTTTTTTGAGATTTTCTCCATTTTAGGGAAACAGGGGAAATTTTTTCAATTTTTGAAGGTAATGCCTTTAATTAGATACAATTTGTGATCTTTTGACGTATGATTGAAAAAAATGGGTTTGGTGAGAGCTGAGAAAAAATGGTAACAGATACAAAAATAAACACATCATAGTAAAATTAATACCTTCTCAGTTTTGCATCAAAGCTAAAATTAGCAAAGATGGGAAATTTAATGGAAGTAATTAACTTAAGTTAAGTTTAGTTAAGTATGATAAATGTCGATAAATTAACAGTTAACAGTTAATAAATTATAAATTTAAACATTTTTTTTAACTTTTTTTAATTTTAAAAAAAGTTTATTTTATTTAAAATCTCTTAAAATCATTTTTTATTAGTCGGTGATGTAAAGAAAAGCTAAGAATCGATTTTCAATTTTTAAATTTGAATCTTCTTCCTTTTTCTTGCCTTAATCCCAACTATTTGGGATCACCCACCCTTATCCTAAATTTCCACTTGACACGATCTCCCACATCATCTATGTTTACATCAGCCGTCCTCATAATGTGATATAATCACATTCAATAACATCCTTCCATATCTACCGCTTCTTCCTTCAATATTGATTTCTATAACTGTTCTTACACCTTCTGATTCCTCATGTTTCTATAGTCTTTAACTTAATTCAATCACATAGTTTAAAATTTACCATTGTTAATATAATTAACAGTATTCTTATTAATAAATACAATTTTATAATTCACATATAATTCTCTTTTATTAACATACCTCCTATAATTTTAAACAACACTTTTAACAACTACAAATCAACAACCGAGATTCAATCATAATCAGTGGATATCAAGTAAGAGTAGTTTCAATACACTAACTACACTAATCAAGTAATAACTAGAAATCAAAGTACTTGTATTTATTATGTCTTTACGGATGATGCTATTATCATTCATTTTTATTAGCACCATCCCCAACAACTTTATTTTTAGTTATTACATTTCCTTTATCTTTAAATATCGGCACCACAATACTATTCTTCAATTCATTTGATATTTTCTCTTCTAATAAGATTTTATTTAAAAGATCCTTCAACCACCTTATGCCAACACCGCCTAATATTTTCCATACTTCTACTGGCACTTCATCTGGTCCTTTTTCATTGATGCCACAACCTCCCATGCCTCTTTCTTACGATATAAATCTACAATTCTTTNCTCCCATGCCTCTTTCTTACGATATAAATCTACAATTCTTTCGTTCCACAAGATATCCTATAATGTCTGTTTTAGATACTCCACATTTAGTAATTTTTCAAAATACTTTTACCACCTTTTTTCATATCATCACTCGATAGCACCCCATTACAACACTTTTTATATACCTTACATAGTGATAATCTTTAGACCTTTTTTCTCTTACTTTTGCAAGCCTATAAACTTATTTTTCACCTTCTTTTGTTCCTAGCAATCATACAACTCATCATACTTTTTAAACTTATGAAAAAAATATTAATAATAGCAAAAATGTTTTTTATTCAATTTTGTATATTTTTTTTATGGTTGCACTGTTTATCTTTAAAACTAGTTATTGATAAAAATCAGTTAAAAATCATATACATTTAAAAAAAACGGTAGCACAGTGGGGTCGAGGCACAGTGTGGACGAGGCATAGATGGGACAAGTATAGATGATATCTGACAGTGATTAAAATCACTATCATAAGAAACGCTTCGATGCAAATCTGTAGATAGTGTTTCCTTTAGAGAAATTGGTGAAATATTTTAAAAGCAACATGAACTCTTATTTCTTTAATTATATCCTGATTAGTAGTTCTTTGATTTTAAAATATAATATATGAATAAATACTAATTATAGTTTTTAAATTTAGTATGAAATTGTGAGGCCAGCTATGATGTATGGTTCATAGTGTTGGGCGGTTGATAAGAAAGTAGAGCAGAGAATAAGTGTAGCAGAGATGAGAATGCTTAGTTGGATGAGTGGAGTGACTAGAGAAGATAGGATAAGGAACGAGCATATAAGAGGAAGTATAGGTGTTGCGTCAATCGTGGATAAGATGACAGAAAATAGACTTAGATTGTTTAGTCATGGTATGAGGAAAGAAGAATCGAAAGCTGTAAGAACAGTTATAGAAATGAATGTTGAAGGAAGAAGAGATAGAGGAAGACCAAAAAAGAGATGGAGGGATGCTATTGAATGCGATTTGAGGACAGCTGATGTGAGCGTAGAAGATGTGGGAGATCGTGTCAAGTGGAAGCTTAGGATAAGGGTGCCCGACCCCAAGTAGTTGGGATTAAGGCAAAGAAAAAGAAAAATATTACCAGATATTCCGGTGGCAATTGACATAATATGATTGTTATTTCGGAATGTACAATTTAGCGTTTAGTTGGGTTTAAATAATATAGCGTCAAATCAATTACCTACTCTATCGGTTGTATCTCAATATACACTACACTTTAATGATACAATAAATAAATAAACTCACACATACACACATATGCATTTATAACATTGTGTCTAATGTAAGTATAACATGATAAAAAGTAACCGTAAAATGAAAAAAATGGAATATAAATTTTATTACTCATATTAAATGTAATGTAACTCGAAAAATATTTGTTTAAATGAAAAAATATAAGATTATATTTTTATTTATAATTGTCTTTTAAACAACTTTTGTGCGAAACTTTTTTTTGTAAGTTAAATATTTTTTTTTGAGAAAATTAAGAAAGCTCATATTTTTGAACTTTTGCGAGGATTTAAAAAAAAAGCTCAATTCCAATCTTGAGGACTATTAGTATGTCATTATACATATTTTAATTCAACTTTTAAAAAAACAAAATTTTTTCCGCAATTTTTCCTTTGTTGACAGGCCTAGATGTCAATTTTAAACTTGTAATTGAGCTAAAAGTTATGGTAATATATTCAATTTATTTTACTATAAACTTTCATAAATCTTTATCAAAAATTTTTCATCAACTTTAAAGAACCAAAAAAATAGGTTAAAATTGAAAATTTGGACTGATTATTTTTAACATATTAAAAATCAAATCAGTAATAATTTGAAAACAAATTTTTTTTTCTTTTAATTATTATTTTATATATATAATTAGTAATAATATAAAAAATTAGAAGTGATAGAAATAGTCTACTTGCAGATTTGAAAACAACGCGAAAATTTGATTTAGAAAAGTATATTTTTGCTTCTGATGAAAGTTCCTTGTAGTCCAGTGCATTTTTTTATAGTAACAAACAGTTTTTATTGAAAATTATTGTATCAAGCCCTTTAAATTTTTATACACGTAAAAGTAAAGCAAAATATAACTTCTTTATTATTTTTATAATTTCTCCGTTTAAATTACAATATTAAATATCAATTTCATACTAAATTTAATAATTATAATTAGTATATATTCATATATTATATTTTAAAATCAAAGAACTACTAATCATGATATAATTAAAGAAATAAGAGTTGATGTTGCTTTTGGAATAATCCACCAATTGCCTAATTAAAACAAAAAAAAAAAAAGTTTGTTGGGAATTTTTTCTGCTATTCTGCAAAATTACTCCTTCGTTGACTAGAATGAATCATTAAATAGAAAATTTTATGAGAATTAAAACAATGTTATTTTTAAGATTAATATGCAGTCAGAAAGTTTTATAATTATTATTTATTGTAAATTTATCAGAAAAACTCATTATTTTTTGCATTTTTATCGTAATAGAACACTTAAATAGAAATCATAGTAATCATTTCTAAGTAATTTTTGATATTTAAAAAGATTCTACTATTGAAATATCCAGAACTGAATTAATTTTAATGATTTACTTTAACTAAAAAAAAAAAAGTTAATATTTTGAATCCCTCTTGTGGGCAGGTAAAGGGTTAGATTTATAAAAAAAACCAAATGATAGATAAAGACATGCATCTAAATAAAAAAAAATATACTGATTTGGTCATTTTTGATAAAGTTATAACAATTAACAAAGTTATAAGTTTTATACACTGGACTACAAGGAACTTCCATCAGAAACAAAAATATACTATTCTAAATCAACTTTTCGCGATGTTTTAAAATGTGCAATTAGACTTTTTCTATAACTTCTAAGTTTTAATATTATTAAAAAATAGTTTTTACATATAAAAAAAAATAATTAAGAACAAAAAAAATTGTTTTAAATTAATACTGATTTGATATAATATTTAATATTAATTTGATTATTAATAAGTTAAAAATAAGGAAAATGACATATTTAACCTATTTTGTTAATCGTTTAAAGTTGATTGTTGTAAATGTTTATAATAAAAAAAAAAAATTTATTTTACCATAACTTTTAGCTCAATTGGTAAGTTTGACATTGACATAATTAAATAGAAAATTTTATGACAATTAAAAAAATTGTATCGTTAAGATCAATATGCAGTCAGAAAGTTTTATAATTACTATTTATTGTAAATTTATCAGAA